ATCTGGATTTTATGCGTGAGGGCTTTAACCAATGTGAATATTTGAAACCTTTTAATGAATAAAAAGCCTTTGCTGTTCTCTAGTGAATCCTTCAGGCTTTGCCTGCTCAGCAGCTGCTGCAGGAGATTAACCAGAGTTTTTACTCACTATTTCACTTTAATGCAGCAGGAGGCAAACATTAAAAGTTTCTCTTGGAAGCTTCCTGGGTCGGTTCTAATGTAGAACAGAAAATGGGTTAGTCTGCACAGAAAAATGTTCCTGCAGAGTTCTTTAGTGAAAACATAACAGTGCAGGAACCACAGAGCGGTTAAATGTTCCCCAGATGCATCCAAATGTTTGACAGCTTACTTACAAATCCATATCTTTGCTCAGAACTGACACAAAACAGCGGATCGTTGCTACATAACTGGAGAAAGTTCATAAAACTTGAGTTTAAATCATCCTCCCCTGATGTAACATGAGTCACAATAAACACAAAGCAGATAAAAGCGAAGGGCTGGAGAAAACTCTGAAGTGTGACTCAGTCTGGAACAGGAACGCTTCCCAGTTCTGACGTGAAGAACTCTGGAGGCTGATTAACGGCTCTGTTCCCAGAAAAACATCCCATCCCAGAGAAAGACGCCTCAACCTGAATTCAACTTATCCTCATTACTCAGCCACAAGTACAGAGCAACGGAATGAGGTTTGCATCTATCCAGAGGTTCTATACAGGATAGAAATGTTTATTTAGATGCATGCATGGATGGTAGATATAAGCAGAGAATAACTGGAAAAGACTATAAAATAAATAAATATGGAAGCTATATACAGATTATACAGGAAGTTATGGATATGGATTATATATATATATATATTAGTGGGGTTATAATACAGGATTAAGAGATAGCAGATTATATTATTTACAGATTAAATTCAGCTATAGTTGAGAAGTGCATTGAAATGTTGTTGGATCCATGAATGTGTGTGAGGTCAGTCTGTGTTCCTGCTGTGTCTGTAGCGCCTCCCAGAGGCAGGAGTGAGAAGAGTCTTTGGTGATTTTCTGGCTCTTTTCAGAAACTACTTCCTGTAGATGTCCTTGATGGCAGGAAGCGTTGCCCTGGCGATGCGCTGGCTGTTTCCAGCAGCGTCTGAAACACCTTCTGCTCCAAGCAGAGCATTATATACTGTTGGTGAGGATCTCTGAGGTCAGATGGTTCTTCCTCATGAAGAAGAGGCGCTGGTGAGCCGTCTGGATGAATATGGAGCAGCTGGTGGTCCAGGTCAGGACTCCCATGAACTTAAAGCTGTCCACACGCTCCATCACTAAAGCCCAGACCTAAAGAGACTACCATAACCCAGCAACACCAACATGATGAAGCTAGATTTACCTAGCAAGCTTAGCACACCTTTTTTAAAAATATATATAGTGAAACATAGTAGTGGCAGCATCATCCTGTGGTGATGCATTGCTTAGAATGCCGGAGATTGAGCTGCAACGGAAAGGTTTAAAGCATCTTCATGTGCTGCAGTGGCCAAGTCAAAGTCCAGACCTACTGAATGACCACCTGAAGCGGCTACCTCCCCCAGTTCAATCATGCCTGTATGGATAGATATAGAACACATAGAATGAACGGTTGTTTCAGTAAGGAGTCAGAAACACAATTATTTTAAAATTCTTTTAATAAATAGAAAACTGGTCTTAGAATCAGACAGAGGATCAAACATGCTCTGAAACAAACACTGATGCTGCCCCCCCCCCATCCCACCTCATTAATCAAGGGGGGCGGGGGGGGTGGCGGGTATACAGTCATGCAAACAAGTTCATAGAAATTCAGTAAACAACATATATTTCATTTTTTCTATAATGAATATCAATACTATAAAGCACCCACAACCAGAGAGGAGGAAGGACCTGCAGAGCCAGGAGTCCTAGTCATGGACACGGCAGCAGGACGGGTCGCAGGATGCTGAGGGGAGGGGAGCTGGTGAGCAAGGAGGACATGTTTCCTGCTGCAGGTCAGAGATAAGGAAGAGAGAAGGAAGGCCGACGTCTATCAGGCGGAAAAAACGTTAAAATGAAGAAAATAAAGATGTTTCTGGCACAGAAAGGGTTAATATAGGAGAGTTAATCTGTTTTTTCCCTAAAAGTTTCCTTTTAGAGGATCTGAGTCAATTTCCTGCTTCGCTTTAAGCAAACAGCTCTAATTTATTGAGCTGTTTGCTTAATTTATTGTGTTTCTGGATGTTTATTCACAGAATTGATTAAAAGTTTGATAATTTCTTTTTTACTTTATTCCTATTTTTTCTGCCTCGGTTTTATTTGATCTTATCGTTTTAAGATCAGACAAAAAATTCAATATGCATAAATCTGAGAATTAAAACCCAAAGCGAGTTAAAAATTCTCATCAACACTCTGCTGCAGACACTAGGTGGCAGCAGAGAGCTCTGATGCATTCCTCCATTCTTCCTGTTAAACATGTTAGCCTGTCAGAGATCAACGCCACATCCTGCACTGTGTGAAGTGGAAGAAAATCAAACATGATTTATTCACATGTCTCAGAATTAAAACCATAAAAGTGCTGAGCAAATTAACACTTCAGCCCCCTTTGCTTTGATACCCCTAAATAAACTGAAGCAGTGGTGTTTTGA